TCTCTCTCTCTCTCTCTCTCTCTCTCTCTCTCTCTCTCTCTCTCTCTCTCTCTCTCTCTCAGAAGAAGAAGAAGAAGAGGAAGAAGAAGAAGGAGAAGAACGAGAAGAAGAAGAAGAAGGAGAAGGAGAAGAAGAAGAGGACAGGACCTATGGAGGATGGAGACAGGACGATGAAGAAGAAGAAGAATGAACCTGGCCGAAACTGATCTCCACTGGTCAGATGAAAAGTCCGAACGGACATATCTGAAACAGACAAAGTAGTCCAGGCAAAAGACTCAGCAGAAAAAAATAAACAAACAAATAATTGAATGCTGAATCAAAAGGAAGACGTATGGAATCAAGCGCGTGCCAGGCGTGGGAAATGGCCGTGGGCCTCCAGGTCGCTCACCAAAATGGGTGTGCAGCCTGGGTGCCTGGAACAACTGCCGGGCCCGAAAAGAGGGCCCATGTAGCGGCCTCAGCATGCTACACCTATATGCTGTTTAGTGGTCCTGTCCACCTCAGGTGCGGCGGCAGATTAGCCTCTGATACCACCTGGCCGATTTGGTGAGATTGGTAGAGCCATCTCGTGGGGCACGGACGAGTAAAGCTGCTCTGGGTAGGTGACAGCAGGTTTGCTGATTGGTGGACCTGCTTTCCACTTTTTTCTTTCTTTCTTTCTTTTCTAAAACGCTTTAGTGCTTTACTTTTTTTTTTTCCTGGTAGTGTTCCAAATCCCAATGTCGTGCTAGAGGTGCATGAGACATCTTTCTCTGGTAAGAGACGACCCCTTGGTGTTCGTTCGTGGTGTTGCGATAAATCCTGTAGACCGTCGTCATGGAGGAGTGGACATGATATATGGATAGCCTGTCACACCGCGTCGCCAGTGACTGTGTCTGTGGATGGCATATGTATGTCCGCTTTGTTGGGTTAGAGGAAGGGGTTGGATCATTTGTGACGTGTCGATCTGTGAAGCCATGCCTACCTCCTCCTCGTGAGGGTGGGTAGAAGGCACAGGCCTCGGACTGCAGGTTAGCGAGCTCGACTACCCCTTTTTGTACAAGTACCTGGACTGGATATCTCAGTGAAATTTACTCTACGTGGAAGTGTCAGTGCTCCTTGTGAGAAGTTGTGGGAAGAACTGGAAAGAACTGGAAAGATGTAAGGTGCATGCTCGGTATCGCATTGGCTAGGCACTCCTGCTTTCATCGTGTGAAGGTCCGTGGGACCGAGAAGGTCAGAGTTTGTGTGTGCGTATTATTCCGCCATAATCCGATAAGGATGCATTGTATGTAATGTTCCACAAGGTAATACAAATCGGTCAAATGACGCGTCAAACCACCAGCACATGGCCCAGGCAAAAACTTGAGAATCGAAATCCGGCTAAATCTGAAAAGTTTGAAGGCTTGGGTCTACCGGACTAAAATGGCCGGCAAAGCTCGGCGCACAGACCGAATCCGCCTCGGCAAAAAGAGGTGCGGATGTGCTGGTGGGTGGTTTAAGGCCGGGGGGGGGTACAAATCAATGTGGACAATTTGCCACTCCTGGTGTGGCAGTGCGTAGCGGTGGACCATGTGCTTGCGTAAACTAGCGTATCCAGATTCTCTCAGATCTCAGATGGCTCCCTGATCGGGACTGGGAGGGCTTGGGCGAGTCTGCGCAGAATCCATGGAGTGAGCCGACCTGTCAGCCCACCATCGATGTACGATACTAGTTTTTATGCATCTGGGGTGTCGGACAGCATGTCAAAAAGGTTGGGTGTGAGTGTGTATTTGTGAATGGGTTGTGTGTGGTGTGTGGGAGTGTGCTGGCCTTAGACACTGCTGTTACTCTCTGGGGGTGGGGGAAGACGAAAAGGGAGGCCCAGCTACTTGGCGAAATGCTTGGTCTTTGTGTTAGCCGCGCCCCCACCAGTGGTGGCCCCAACCCTGCGCCCAAACCACTAGGGCGAAGGGCAACATGCAATCCTTTTCATTCTGAGAGGTAGCTAGTACTAGCTATGCCTGCAGGGCCCCCCTGTATAGCCTTAGGAGCAGTGGTATGTAGGTAGTGAAAGGTAAATGAAGAGAAGAATATTGCTTATGGCGCGCGGTGGGTCGTGCACTCGGTTGACTGCATGGCAAGCCGCCTGCCATGACAATTTGTTACATAGAACATTCTTGTTCAAGTTCCTCAGGAGAAAGTGAGCTCTGGATAAAAATTGGAAAAAATAAAATAAAAAAAAATTGGAAGCTGAGATCACATTCGTCCCCTGGGCATGGCCACCTGGGAACACACCGACGAGCTTTGTCCGCTCGCTCGAGCTTTCGTCTTCCCTGCTGGCCTTAAGACATGAACAGAGCCCTTCGTCCTGCTTCTTGATGTCGTCCCTTGCCGTCGAATAGTCCCTCCGGTTTGACTTTTCGAATCTGCCTATTCTGTCTGGAGTGCCTTGAACCTTGCCTCTTATCATGCAGAGAAAGGCTGTCGCGTCTATATATAGCTACTATTGATCAGTACCGGTGCTAAAGTTGGAAGCACCCTCCTTACGTCTCTGGGCCTCATCCTCCCCAGACCTGTTAAACCACCAGTACACGGCAATAGATCGGCCCTGGGCCCCTCACCGCGACTACTCTCGGAGGGCCGGAAAAAAAGCATCACGAAGGCCGTTGATGAAATTTATCAACGGCGGCCTGGGCCCGAAGTTTCCAGAGTAGGCAACGAGTTTCTTTCTGCAAGGCAGGGGCCATGTACTAGCGGTTTAAGGCTAAATCGGGAAAATCGAACCAGAATTTTGTGACCATAGCAGTTCAAGCCCCTCGGTTGAAAATAGGAATGGCAGCAAGGACGTCAGTACTTGCCGCCGTGAGCGCAGTAATGGTGGGTGGCAGCAGGC